ACAAGGTCCTTTCTGTTCACTCTGCATATACAGTAAGGCTGTGTAAACAGAGCCTATTGCTTATCAAGTGCATGCAGGGATGGGAGTCAGTGAGTTCAGGAGTTCAAGTAGGGGGGCAGAAAGATCTGTATTGGGGCACTCCAAGAGTCTGCGTTCAGCAGAGGAACAGCTGTGGGCAAGAAGCCATGCGTCAGCCTGCTGGTGGAGGATCAGATACTCCTATAGCACCTCCCACGAGGAGGGGGCGAGGGTGTCACTGGTGATACTACGTCCTCTCTAAAGACAAAGCTTGAGATGTGTTCATATTGGCGAGTGCCTCTCACTGTCGATTTAATGGCTATGTGATAAACAAAATAATCTCCTCAGTCACTAAGTATTTTCAAATCCCTTTCCCCCCCCTCCATCCCTCTTCACATTCTCCATCCTCTCTGCCATCAAGAACAAAGAAAGTAAAGGATGGAGGCTAACTGTGAGAAAGCAGAGGCTTTCTAATTATAGCTCCGTTCCTCGAATATGGGTGCCGCCGCTGAAACAAGCAACTGGAGTTCATGCGTCAGTCCTGCGGAATTATGCAAAATGTGTCTTTGATCATCAACAGCGGTGTCAGACAGTAACCTGGTGTTATCAGAACGTCACAGAAACGCATACCTTTTGACTGTCAGCTAGGCAGTTCTTAAATGATGTGATTGCATAAGAATATAGTCAGTGATTATAAAAGGGATTAAAATAGTTTTCATACATCCTGTCTTCAGAAAACATCTCTGTTCAAGTAGATATATTTCAATGTGTTGCCATTGCAATAATGGAAGTTATTTTACTTGTAGACAAATATTTAAATGAAAATACAACTTTTGAATATAATATTCATAGGTATGTTTTCATTAGTGTATAATCACCTGAAAAAAGTGTTTTTGTAACCTTAGAATGAGCCATTTTATCTATATAAGGAGCAGGTTCTCTTTTACGAAGGCCGCCATGTTGATCCACTATGTTTCTACAGTAGCCTAGAACAAACAAACCAAATGGTGCCTCTCAAGGTTAATTCACAGCCTTAATATTTCATTTCAGAATACTCAAGTGGACTTAGTTCACAGTTGTGTTCAAAACATGTCCTCTTTCACTTGGTTCCTTCTTTTGAACTTTTCCTGTTGTGATCCATCCCTTGCATTACTGGTGGGAGTTCAGGACGTGATTCTTACATCAGGTCACATTGAGTCCACACCCCAAGAGATCATCATTCTTATCGAACACAATCCTTCATCTTGCACATGAACTCAGTCAGTTTTTCTTTTCCTAAAGCATGGACCGATGGGAGTCCTGACTAATAGATGGCTCAGGTTTGGTTGCAGGCTCCTGACCGTCAAAAAGCCTTCACCCCGCCCAAGCAGACAGTCTCAATGGAGTATAGGCTTACTTTGAGGCAAGCCTCATATGTGGACAAGAAAACAGCTTGAAATACTTATTTTTACAAACGGTTTGTCAAAGTCAGAAGTCAAGCTTCCATGAGCAGTGAGGATGGCCCAGGGTACACTATCATACTATCATAGTAGCAAATCAACATGAACTCTTAATGTTTTTGCCATAAGTGTCAGATTACTCTTTTTCTCAATGAATCCTTTTAAAAGAAAAAAAGGGATGTCTTCAACCCAATGATATTCAATTTAGACTCACATAAAACAGTACTGATTAGTTAAATAAGACTTAAATTATTTATTATTTAAGTCCTCTTCATTCTTTCATTCAGTGTTGATTCTGGCAGCCCCAAAAGCGGTAACGTTTTTGTTTCATTGATTCCAAATGGGATTCCGACTAACTGGCATGCATTAACAACAACTATGAAGAAGTAATTTCTGTGTAAAGTCAGCTCACATTAGCCACCTTAAGCTACTTGGTTACACCAGACCGATAAGGCTGTAGCAATAAAACACCTGAGTGTAGTGATCTGAACAAGAGTGTTTTAAATTTTAGGATTTCAACTTTTCATTATGAACAAGTTTGAACCTTCAGATGTTCACGTGACAAACTGGTTCCTTAGTGTGTGTGTGTGTGTGTGTGTGTGTGTGTGTGTGTGGGTGGGGTCAGTCGACCCACTCACCCCTCACTTAGTGTCACCTCCTGTTTCCTCCTCTTTGGTCGGACGGAGCGCTTGGCTACTTGTCTTTGTGCTCCCTCTCCCCGCTGTCCAAATGCATCTTCATCACCACCATCATTCTCGTCACCGCCAATTTATTCAGTTTAGGACACTGTGGAGGGAGACTTAGAAAAGACAGCAGAACTTAAAATATCTCAGCTCCTCTATGCTCTGTCTTTGGCAGAAGGCATTCAAAAGTTCCTCTACCTTATTATAATGTTATTTCTGACTTAATCTCGGAACCCATCGGCTGTCATCTGATGACGATATAGCCTCTGGGGCAACAGCCAATGTTTTGGGTCTTCCGGTTTAGCCAATGGATATCCTCTTCCTTGCACCAGTCATTATTTACAGTCCGATTAGCAACGTGAGACACCAGAATGGAGTTGGAGCCAAGAGACGACATCTACGATCGGACTGTTTCGCAACTTGCCAGGGTACACTGAATAACTGTTTAAATTGTCATCACATGATAGCCGAGTTATTTTACTTCCAGAGCTGTGCCAGCAGTGCCTGCATGTCACGCATTGCGGGCAAGCTTCTAATGCCCTCACCCAGTGAGCAAGATAAGTTAGCTGCTGGGTGCTAATCATGGCTTTCTTAAACCATAATCAGTCGTGTGGCTAAAAATTTAAAGTCTGACCTCAGAAAAACTTTAATGCTAATGGAGTGTCCAAAATGACAAACCCGAGGGCTCTTAATGAGAGATGTATTTTATCATCACCCTTGCAAGGAAGTGTACAAATGAGTTCCATTGGGTCAAAACATCAAAATAAGTTACTGATATGTTTTCATTAATTAAAAAGTATATTGAGACCCCTGCTTTATTACAGCTTCTGAGTTAAAACCATGTGTTCCTATTCTGCCTTTCTGCATTTGGCGTTCATCCTCTGTGTCCCAAATGGTGCTTTAGAGATTCATGACCTATCAATTAGTTGGTTCATCTTGATTAGGCGAGCTGAGTAAATTAGCTCTCAGTTCATATCAGTAGATTCCTCATAAGGACCTTCGGTGTTAATACCACAACTAGACAAAAAATATACAGAAAGGTCGGAGACCCCTGCACTAGAGAAAAGCACACAACCAACCACAGCATATTTCATGCAAAACCAAAGATGATTTTTGTGCTATTAAAGGTCACCAAAATCATCCTCTTGAGACCATGAATATCTACTGCAGGTTTTGCTGCTAGGAAGATAACTGCTTCAGAGTCTGGGCTTGGACTGTCACATGGGGGACCAATGATCAATATTAAGACCAGGGGACGCTGAACTAAAACCATAGCCAGTGTTATTACTACTGCCGCTCATACTACTACTGATTTTTAATGATGTAGCACTTGAATATTAAAACCATTAGGGAAGAGAGCGAGAGAGAAATTGAGATGTGATTCATTACTCTGCTCTGGGTGAGTTCACTCTTCTCCTCCTCTCCTCAGTCTTTCTCTTCATTACATTCGCTCCATTCTTTCTTCCTGCTCATTTCTCCATCTCTCATTCCTTTCCCTTTTTCGATCATAATTGTTTTTCATCATCATTTGTCTTTTTTTTTTCTCCATGTTGTCGCAAATGTTTCTTTATTTTTTTCATCTGTATCCCCTATTTGTCTCCTAAATGACAGAGGATGACTAAGACTCCATGGGGTTTTTATTGTGCTTTCTTTGTGTGTGTGTGTGTGTGTGTGTGTGTGTGTGTGTGTGTGTGCGTGTGTGTGTGCGTGTGCGTGTGCGTGTGCGCGTGTGTGTGTAGGAGGTACAGTGCTAATAGTCCCTCTCTCTCTGACAGACTAATGACTAGTTTGTGCTTCTCTGTCTGTCTCTCTCGCTGCCTGTCTCTCTTTCTCTCTCTTTCTTTACGTCTTGCTCTTGAAAAATAATTAGCTCGCTCGCCCCCTTTCCAAAGATTACATCTATTATCACAAATTCTCTCTTGTCCCTGTTTTCTTTCTTTTGTCATCACTATCCTCCTTTTTATGTTGCGTGTCCATCTCTCTGTCTTTTTTATCTTTCTCCTTACCGTGGGAGAAGGAACAGCAGAGCCTGTGTGTGTGTGTGTGTGTGTGTGTTTTAATGTGGTGATAATGGAGCTGTTATGTTGGACTGATTTTCCCCAGTTTTCTTCCTTTGTTCTGTAGTTATCATAGTGAAATTAGGGCTGCGTTGTACATCCAAAAATAACACTCTCTTCCTCGATTCCGGTAATGTAATAAGTACAGCACCACGTCTGTGTAAATACTAGACTTGAGGTATGGTATATGGTGCTGATAATCACATGAGAAACCCTTTTAATGCAACATAAATCATTCTGTATAAGCTGTGTTAATGTTTTGATCGTTAAAAGTCATTTATTTAGCGTCGGTGACGGCTCATGTGAGTCATCAAAACCTCTTGAATTCAGAACCGACTGCCTCGTTTTGGCAATATATGGAAACATTTACAACAGTTAAACATTAGTATTTGCAGGCAGGCTATAAACTAAAGTAAATGTTAGGTAAAGCATGAAACGCTTGAACCTTCTGAAACATTGCTTCTTCCTGGAAAACAGCAAGGAAACTTAAATGGGCTCTGTAAAGTAGGCCTGTATTCATCTTTGGATACTCTTTGGACAATTGGAAATGGAAATGTGAGAAGAAGCACGGCAACCAGGGACAAACTGTTAGCCTTGCTCTATCAAAAGTAGAAAAAATACGTGTTTGACCAACACGTACACATGACCCATCTTGTTTACACATTGGTTTAGCTCATGTAACTGTTGTTGTAATGTTGAAATACAAATGTTAAAAGACTTTGATTTAAAGGTAGTTGGAGCCGTTTCCTGGCAAAATGTTTCCTTGCTTTACTTAAATCTGTCTGTCTGTCTGTCTCTCTCAGATGACCTGGCGTACGAGGTGCGTTGGCTTTTCACCCGGCTGCGCGGTGGCGAGACAACGACCCAGGTGGCAAGCGTGGACCGCTTCGGCGTTGTGAGGAAAGACGCCCGTAACTCATCCAGTGACATCTCAATAGAGCGCAAAGACACACACATCTACCTGCTGAACATTCACGGCACTCAGGACAGGTGTGTGTGTGTGTGTGTGTGTGTGTGTGTGTGTGTGTGTGTGTGTGTGTGTGTGTGTGTGTGTGTGTGTGTGTGTGTGTGTGTGTGTGTGTGTGTGTGTGTGTGTGTGTGTGTGTGTGTGGTTTTGACCTTTTGTGAACTAATAATTTGACTGTTTCACCCCTGCTGGCCAGAAGATTTACACTGTAGTATTGTTATAACAGCTACAGCGTCTTACTGTGTGTGTTTTGTGGTTTCCAGTGACAGTGGGGAGTATCACTGCATTGCCACTCCCTGGTACCTGTCAGCCTCAACAGGAGCCTGGACTGAAGCTGGAGAGCTGACATCATCTCGAGTCTTCCTCACAGTCCGGTTTGCTGGTGAGGAGTGTGTGCTGGACTTCCTACATGCCCATGTCCACACTAATGCAGTTAAATCTGAAATTTGCTCAATTTTGTTTCAGCATTGTAATTCTTTATTGTCAGATGACTGTAGTCTGGAGAGTGATTTTGCAAAAAAAAAAAAAAAAAGATAGAAACAGAGACATTAGTCTGGACATGGCACGTTATAGTATTTCAGCATGCACATATATGAACATGAAATGCAAAATAATTGAATTAACTCTTTTTTTTATATTATTTGCTTCCATTAAACACCAAATCTCTCTTCGTCTCATCTTCTGCAGTGTGGGATTCCCTAAAGTTGCCTCTCTTATATGGTGTTGCAGCCTCAATAGGTAATGTAACCATCACACACTCACAAGTAAAAGTAACAATGTACATACTGTTGATGTTGTATTATCAGTTAGCTTAAGCCTGTGTTTTTATTGTTCATATGTTATCTAGATATACACTGTTCCAACAATCACAAACTCTGCTTTGGTTGAAATAAAACCTGAATCCACTGACGTAGATGATAAAAACAGGAGTCTCAGTCGCTCTACTGAGCTGTACGAAGTGTGTCATTCTCTGCTCAGGATGTTTACATGGCTAATAGTTGTTTGCTGCTATAATAATGTATACATCTCATATATATATATATATATATATATATATATATATATATATATATATATATATATATATATATATATATATATATATATATATATATATATATATATATATTTGCCAGTTGCTGACGAGTCTGATTCAACATTCCTACATGTCTGACAATGGGAGAACAGCTTTTTTGTAATGCTATAGACGTGTGTGTATGTGTAGACATTTTGTAAACAATAGCACAACTGAAGCCATCAACATCTGGTTTGTTGCTGTTGCCACGGGGAATGACACATTATTATAGCCTATTTTTGTGAGCTCTAACTTACTGAAATGTTGAGGTAGCACAAACACAATTATTGACATTTTAAATGCTGTTTTCAGCCAAGAGCAGCTGAAAATGGCTAAAAGTAAGGTTGTTGTTTTTTGTTCTCTTGGCTCCCTGATGCTCGCTGTCAGTGTGGACATCTTCACTGAAACTGCTGGCTGATAGACTAGAGAGTTTGTGCTGCTCTTCTCTTGACTCGCTGACAGAGCTGCGCTCATGCTTATTTAGGAGACGTGGCTGACAGCTGGCAATGCCAGGGCACAGTGGATTTGAATAAGACAAAAACCTGAATTTGATCAGACTTAATATTGTCAATAACAAGCTGTAAACTATGACTTAATTGGCACTGCTACTGATCTTGTAAAAGGGCTGGCTTAATATGAATAGCGGAAATCTTAGTTTATGGGCATCTGTTGTGTCAGTAGGGGATGGAGTAGAGCTGGTAGCCGTAATTGCCACAGTAGTGGCCCTTTTTTTAGCCATTTAGCACCAGATGCTAACTCGCAGCATCTCGGAGCCACTCAGAATAAAGATGAGATTGTCTCTGAGCTGAGATGGGATCAGGAGTGGTGGGGTCTGGAGCGTGCAGTTGTAGTTAGAGGTTTATAAAAAAGCTTTATGCCATGGTCTGGGTGAATACTCAATTCTGATTGGCTGCTGGGTGTCCATTAATTCCTGAAACTGTCTGTTTATCGTTCTAAATGAATGCACTGAATAAAAATCTGAAACACGTCTCAACACTAAAGGTTCGTAGCTGAGCCAAAGCGCTCTAGGAGCAGAAGGAACTAGAAATATCTCCCATTGCCAAGTCATATCTAAGGTTCATCCTATTTACTGGAGTAGTAACGTTTCCATTGCATGAGAACCTTGTGGGATGCAATGAATATTCCAGGTATTCATCAATTGGCAGCCTCCATGGCTGGCAAATGACAACATGGAATTGACAAAAACTGCAGTTCCTCAAACGACCACTTGGAGCTTCACAATGTCTATTCAGAAACCGATTTTGATTGCAAAACACAAGTGACCATGGTATTAGTGCAATAATGCCCTCGAGGTGTCGTCCATTAATTCCTGATAATGCGCACGTCGTCAGGCTTTATTCCTTACATACCTGCCTGATGTAGACCTACAGACCCTGCCACAGGAAAGTCCCTTACACATTCCTGTTTGTGTTTCTTCTTGTGCCATCCAGTCCCGTGTGAATTACGTTTTAGCAGCCACAAGGTTTGTTTTTGTCCAATCAATCATATTGTGTCTCCTCCATTTTTAACCCCGTCATGTATCTCCAGGTGTGGGCCTCTTCTCTCTGGTCCTGGGTCTGGTTTGCGCCCAGTGCTGCTGCCGCAACACCACGCACACTCCACGCTCACGCAACAAACTGATGGACCTGGAGATGGACTGACAAACAGCTTCCCCCGCACCCACACACTGCAGCGCTCACAGGAAACACCTCACACACAACAGACACACGCCCATAGACGATTTCTGGGACACCCAGCTCTTTCCAGGTGACGGACGTTGGGAGTAAAATGACGTATCGCTTTGGAAACGCAAGCTAGTCGATCACAGCGCTTCAAGAGGTGCCCGGGGTTTCTCAGCTCTGCAGTGGTGGAGCAGGGGACTTTTTTTTCATGGGGGAAATAGCCTTTGAGACTTCAATTTACTCTGAAGATCCATTGAAATCTGTGGCGCTTCCAGTGATTTTTACACAGATTTATTTGCTCCCTGTTAATGCCATAGCACTACCAGAAACTCTGAAGAATCCAGAGTTATGTTTTTTAGGAACAGGAGGCTTCTGAGACATCACTGCCACATGGGAATAAAGGACAGATCTGCTGCCTCTGTAACCACCAGGGATAACTAATGAAGCGCCCAGACTGGACTACAATTGTTTTTCTTCTGATGCCATGGCTCGCTGCAAAGCACAACCACTCTGTTGTCGATAGTAATTGAGTCTCTCTGAGTAACGGCACACCAGCACAACAACGAAAAGTTCTAGGAGTGGTTGGGGTCTGGTTGAACATTGTGTCTGCACCTCGGCAAATCCCTGTTAAGTCACACAGCTAATGTTATTTTGCATTTGCAGAGTGTCGGTTTAGGCAGCCTGAGCCTTATTTAGAGTGTTCACACCGGCAGCAGAAGTCCTAGAGAAAGAAAGTGCTCCGCGTGCTTTCCACACGAGAGGTATTGCACTAGAACTACCACCCCAGAGTATTCCTACCTTAACAAAAGGACAAAATTTACCTTTATTCTCAACTCTAGTTTTATTAAAATTGAGAGATTTTAAAAATGAGAGACATTTTTAAGCTTTACAAGGAGATATGCAGTTTGTTTGTGTGTGAGATACTGTACGTGGTGCCAATATTTGAACTAACGGACGTGTGCTTGGTTCTATATCGCCAGATCAACACTTGAACAGCCACTTAAAGTGGTGACAGCAAGCACTCTTCTTTTTCTAAATATTCAGAAATGTATCCAGCTGTTATTTTAGTGTGTGTTACCGTGCGAGTGCTGTGCTACAGTGTGTGAGACAAAGAGTTGTACTGAGCATGTACTGTTTTAATGATGACCGACTGATGTCGTTCCTGAGCAACACAAAGCCTTTTCCAGGGTTACATTTTGATGACATCAAACAACCAGATTTTTTTTTAAACCTAGCTCTCACTCCACTAATGTAGACTCTCATGTGTTCACGCTGCAAGCAACATGACTGTTTATAAAAGAGTGTGGGCGGTGCAAGAAAGTCAATTACTTCCACGGTTTGCAGCTGCGATGTTTTGAACAGGGAAATCATGCATGTTTCTCAGTTTCAGTTTTGCTTTTGAAAGGAATAGTCAAACATTTTGGGAAATACCTTTTATTTTCTTTATTTTCTTTAGCCTAGCTTAGCATAAAGACTGGAAGCAAAGGGAAACAGCGGGTCTGGTTCTGTCCAAAGCGAATAAAAAAATGCCTATCAGTACCTCTAAACTAATTAACATGTTGCAAAATGGCGTTCAAACAGACATGATTTGCCAGGGAAGTTTGTGAGCTGAAGCGCAAGCGAGCATTTCAATTTAGTTGGGTGGCGAAACTCCAACTATGTGTTGTGTAGTTTGTCGCAAGTTTGAGAGCAGGGCGAATAAAACGGGATCGTCCCAAAAGCGTTGCGGGAGCGTCATAAGAGCCACCAACATCTTACATCTTACTCGCCAAGTTTAAAAAAACATTAACTTTGAACCCCAAAATGATCGTTTTTCCATTACTGTTTGTGTACAGAATAAACAAACAGGATACGATGCGTAAGTTAGCGCTCATTAGAGGTGCTTGGAGGCTAGCTGTTTCTCCGCGCTTACAGTTTTTATGCTAAGCTAACCATGCTCTGACTCCAGCTTTGTACTAACACACAGACATGAGATTGACGTCAATCTAACTCTCAAAGAGAACGCAAATAAGTTCATTCCCCAAAAGGTTTAACTGTTCCTTTAAACGTCACATGACTTCAGTGAGTCCAAGGGGCAGTCTAACGTTTTGGGAAATCCTCATTTGCCATCTTACCCAGACTCAGAGGAGACTGTTGATATCAGTTCCATCTCCGTATTCGTGGTTAGCCTAGCCCCATCAAACATTAAACAATTAGCCTTGAAAGAAATGATGTACACATTTTTACTGAAGCCATATAAAGCCTTATAGGAATCCCTCCTCTCACTTCCACTCATTTTACATCACGCAACATGTGCCATCACGTTTGGTTGAGCTAAGTATACTGTATTTCTCAAAATGTCAAACTGTTCCTTAGGCATTGCTAAGTAACCTTTCAGTCCAGTGTCAGAGATTTCGACCCCCAGATACAACCCTTTCCCAAATCCCTAGAGTTTTTTTATCTCTGCTTATCAGAGAAACGTTGTAAAAACCAGTTTACCTTGCTCTCAACAGACCAAACTGAAAATCATATGTGTAGGACAAAAACATCACCTGCCCAGCTTGTATCAGCTGACATCTGTTGAGTCTCTGTGGTGTTTTTTATAAATGAATGAATTGTGACTGTCGTGTCATGTAGACTGCAGTGTGAACACACACTCACAGTTGCAGCAACAACACACACAAAGTGGAGAAGTTTCTGTCTAGACCCAGCAGGTCCCAGGCAGACCTGTTGGGTTTGTAATAGGATGTGCCAGGCTGTGTTTTAAATAGTTTTTAAAAGGTATTTTAAGCAACTATCAGAAGTTTATGAGCAATACCAGGATACAGTCAGGTCACAGCTGATGTAAAGCTGCGCTCATCACACGTTTCACCTTCAGTCAGAGCTAAAATGTGCCAAGAGAAAGCTTATGACAGCTGATTGTTGATTGGATGTTTCATATTCAGACAATGTAGTATATTTGTTACTTTGGTTTTTCCGTTTCAAAATCAGAAAAATGAAGAAGAAAAAAACAAAACAAGTTCCTTCAAAGTTTCTTTGTTTTATTTGTGTGTGTTGTTTTGTTGGTGCTGCTCTTCTCCGGGTATCCTCAGGGTGCGCTGCCCCGAACACTTCTTTGCTTCATTTGGACCCAGACCCACCTCCGGAGCTGGACCGGTACCTGCTACCGGTGACAGTCCCCATGCCTCTGAAACCAAGTAGCCCTGGCTGCATTGATCATTTTTCCAAGCACAGTGTGTCAGGAAGGATAACTCTGCAGCAGGCCCTCCCTGCAGCCTCTGAGCCCAGAGACACGCTGGCTGCTCTGGAGGAGAGACCCTGAGCAGCAGTAGGTGTGTGTAGAGAGGCAGCCAACCCACCCTGCGGACACCCGGAGAGGGGCAGCACAAACAAATTAACACCCAAAAAAAAAGTCTTTTTTTAAAACAGAAAATGGAAAAACCAAAGAACAACAAACACTACATGGATTTATCTATCACCCCCTCAGCTCAGACTGGGTGGTACAGAACCTCAGATTTGGCCTTGTCAGAATGCAATGCCCAAATACTCTAGGGGTTTATTTCATAGTTGCAGAAATGTACAACACATAAACAATTTTAACCAAATTTGAGTGCAGTTAGCTGAAAGTTTCATCAAGTAAAAGAAAAACTCAGATAGCAGAGGGTCTGTAGATAAGTGCTGCTGTTCTGTTTCTTCAGTCAGGTTGAGCGTAGACTCCGCTTTGAGCACAGAGCTCCACAGGTGTGTGTTTCTCCCTGTGATAGTGCTGTTGCAGTATTGAAAATAGGTTTTGCCACTATCATTAACACGTACACACACACACACATGCACACACACATTGCTTGAGCTCACAGGTGAATAATAGGGCTCTGTGCCAAATGCTCTTAACAGTAATCAACACACATAAGTAGCATTGATACATACCACTGAATACGTCACTGCAAGACTTCCCCAGTGTCCTTTTGTTTTGTCATTTTATTGCAATGATTATGATGAATCATGATGTTTTTTAAATAAATAGATTTGTAAGATGTATTCATTTTGTAAATGAATTTATATGTTCTCTTTTATTGTTTTGCTTTTCTTTTTTTTTTTTTTAGTCAATGATGATGGCAGTTTTTGATATTATAACAAGCAAGCAAAGCAAATGACTGTCAGAGTTGTAACTGATTATTACTGCTCAGACAAACCAACAGAAACAGTCCAGGTGCGGTCATCCCTCTTTATGTAACAAAGAAATTATTTCACACAAGAATAGACAAAAGATTTTAACTCCCACAACTTGTTTGCATTTCTGTTTGTGTAAAATGTTTTAAAGAGATATCCAGTGTTAGTTGGTGAGCTTTTTCTCTCAGAGAGAAAGCAAATAAGTGCTGTTCCCGAAATGTCAAATTGAAAATTAAATTTTTCCCACTTTTTCTATCAGGAAATATAAACTACAATCATGCTCTAGTTATTGTGCACATCTTTCTTCCAGGAGTACCTCATATTCCTGTATAGCCTTTGAACCATGACACATTATTTCACTGTTTTCCCAAAGCCCACGCAAAATTAGCAATTTATACCATCTGTCCCCTCGAGCCATCTTGCTGTTAGATTTACATTACACTCGGATAGTGAAAGCTAGCTTGCTAAGGTTTGCAGAGAGTCATCAGCAGCTCCTGCACACTCAATTGCTGTGTTCATCTGACATTTGAAAGGAGGTGGGCTGATGTTCATGGGTCCAGTTGATGGTGCTAAAATGACAGATGAGACCAACAATGTCGGCTCCTCAGCTGGTTGCTTGAAATGAGGTTCACACAGGGGAAAGCTCATGCAATGGTTGCTATTACTGCAGGGAAATGGAACTTTATTTATTTATTGTTCTTTGCTAATTGCAGTTTGGACCAGATAAGTACACAAGTCAAAGCTAACACCATGGGTATTTCGCACAGGCTTTATAAATAAACATACATCTTGGCAGTCCTGACTCCGCCAGCTCCCAGCTAATCAAAAAATGTCCAAACAGCCATTCCCTCAGTTATGCATAACTTTAAGCTTTGATAGGATTTAAACGGGTAAGTTATATAAAAACTCACCCCCGTACAGCTGTCAAGAACGGGGAAGTTGGAGACCAAACCCCTTTTTGAACCAGGCTGTAGACATGTTTATTTTTTCTGTAAAGTCAGGCATTTTATTATGCAGCCTTATGGAGATTGACTCGCTTTTGGAGCCAGCCTCAAGTGGCTGTTTGAGGATGTGCAGTTTTTGGCACTTCCACATTGGCTTAACTGTTTAGCCACGGTGGTGGTCACTGATGGTTCTACTGATGTCTGTACCACCAAACAGTAACATGAAGTTCAACACACAGAGCAGCAACAGGAGCTCTGATTGGCCAGCTGACTTTTTCTTGGTGTGGGGTTGGAGCTATTATTTATTAATGAATCAAGCAACTTACTTAAATAACTTAAATTAAAAGTATTAATTATTAATCTTTTTGCTACTTCGTTTTAAATGTCTTATTAAATCAATCAATTTATAAACCTTATTTTCATTTTGCATTAACATTCAACGCTATCATTTTCATGGGTGTAATTCAACACTGCAGCCTACAAGGGGCGCTAACTGGGCTTCAGACCGGGACTCCTTCTGTTGCCACTCTGCTTCACCCAAAGCAACAATTATGTTTTTGTCCTACATATCTCTGCTGGTAAAGTTGATTTATTGTCTGAATATACCAATAGTTCTTTCATTGTGCCCTGGCTGGCCCACATTTGCCCTCTCTCTGTTGAAATGTGGCTGCTGAATTTTTCCAGAAGATCTGATGTGGTTGTGATCAGAGATCCTGCTCTGAGACTTGTGACAAATGTGGGCCAATTTGGTTTTCTTCTCCGTCTCTGGGCAAGCCATCAATCAGGTTTTTCTATGCTTCCAAACGTCTGAAAAAAAAAAAAAAAAAAAAAAAAAAAACAACTTCAAAAACTTCTAGCAGAATAAATGTTTTATAATTCAACATTGGACCGCGGCTATAGCTCTTCCCTCCATGTCTTCCTTACTGTGTCACCCATCCTCGTGTTAGTCTTACGGGATTTATTTTCTTTCTGTTTATATTCTTTCTCTCTCTCCCTCTCTTTATTTGCCACCATTCTCTTTTTCACTCCATCTCTCTGCTGTTCCCTCTCTATTTCTCTTTCATCGCATCTCTCTTCACTTCCCCTCCCTCATCACACCAATCTCTCTTTCGCTCCTGCTCTTCATTAGAAATGCAGATGAGTTGAAACCTCGATCGCTCTCCTGGGTTTTGATTTTACACCTCTTTAACAACAGCCTCTCCATCCAGCTCTCTCTCTCTTCCAATTTCTCTCTCTCTCTCTCTCTCTCTCTCTCTCTCTCTCTCTCTCTCTCTCTCTCATCTCCATCTCATAGACAGAAAAGAAAGATCCGGTGTCGATTGGCTCTGTCTACGGCTTTGCACTCGTTCTCTCTCAGGGTCCATTTGACCCAGTTTCCTCGTCCCTCTGTGTGTGTGTGTGTGTGTGTGTGTGTGTGTGTGTGTGTGTGTGTGTCCATGCCTCTCATGGATCATTTGGTTATGTGGCCTTGTCATAACTTAAACCACTGTCTTCCTTAATTGACTCAGTTGTGTGTGTGTGTGTGTGTGTGTGTGTGTGTGTGTGTGTGTGTGTGTGTGTGTGTGTGTGTGTGTGTGTGTGTGTGTGTGTGTGTGTGTGTGTGTGTGTGTGTGTGTGTGTGTGTGTGTGTGTGTGTGTGTGTGAGATAAAAAACCAGCACAGGATTATTTTTTATTTGGTTCTCGTACACTCCTGCTGTTATGGAGATGGCACATTTTGTAGTGTTACCCCCCGACTCCGACTTGAGCGTGTCACAGCTTGAGGGTTGCTCCACATAACAAAAAATTCAGACGGAAAAATTTAGCAGCGCATGGAGAGAAATAAGCAGCCTGTTCTCCCCAGAGTCCACCAGAGGCGACACGTTTTCTCCTCTTCATTGTAATCAACGCCGATGTTTACAGCAGCTCCAAACAGCCTCGGCTCCTTCGCACCACTCTGCTGTCTGTTAATGCTCTTGAGGCTGTTTCTTGCCCTTAAACACAGTAGTTTGGTATATTTCCTCTCTTTGCCAAAAGTACCATTTTTATTCCCCAAAACACGTGGATTGGATAGCAGAATATTTAGTTTAGTGCTTTCATTCAGATTTTATATCCCCATAAATCCAAAAGTTGTTGTTTCCTGATGTGTCAATTCTAAAGAAATTCATCCGATACTGGAAATTGAAGAGAGAATGCAACGCCCTAAGCAACCATAAGGAGTCACTATTGAAGTTACAAGTACATCAGTACATCATCCCTCTCTGGCTTCCCACCAGTGAACATTAAAATTAGTCTCCTGAGGACTGAACTGGAAAACCTTCTGAAAATGGTTTGTGTGACTAAAGATTCTATGTAGCCATGCTAACAGTGCGGCTCTAGAAATGGCAATGTCAGCTGGTTCACCACTTTGGTCCAGCTGTCTCCCTACAGGGGAAATGACAGTGCTACTTTCTTTGGCGTGTCTACAGCAGTGAAAGTAATGCATTACAAAGTTACAAAGTAATGCATTATTGTAACTCCACTACTTTTAGCAGTGCATAACAATGGACAGCATAGTACAGCACAGTAATACTATGTGATGATGGACGACTTCAACCCCAAACCCCAAGACACATCTTTCCAACACTGATGAGTCTGTGAGAGTTGGTTGGAGGCTGACTGAGCAGAGCGGTCGGCGAAGTCTCACCGACTGTGTCAGTGTGGCCGAGTGGCTCTTCATCAGCAGCGGGAGGTTCACTTCAATTAACTTCCAACTTTTCAGCGTGGAGAGGTGAAACAGCCGCTGTGCTACCTCACACCAATGCTTATTTCTTCTGTCCCCCCACAGGCGTTACTGCACCTTCCATTCTGGCTCTGGTCAGTTCACTCCTTACCCACAGTTTACCCACAATGCTCCACAGTGGCCCAGAGTCATGTGGAGCTACTGTGAAGTGTTAGGGATAATATACTGAAGTATTTATACAAATTAAGTCCACCCAGTCCTTTAGCTTTGCCTTGGATTATTACAGTTGGTTAAAGAATTTAAACCTGTGCGTGTGTGTGGGCTTGTTTTACTTGTGGGGTCCAACAATCGGGAGCCCACTATACATTTGAGGTCCAACAGCTTTGTGGGAAAATTGTTTCCCCAATTGTGAAAAAGCAGACTTTTTGACCAGTGGTTAGGGTTAGGCAAGTAGTGGTTAGCTGTAGGTTAAGTCTCCAGGAAATGAATGTCAGTCTGAAATATCTCAAGTGAAGTGTGTGTGTGTGTGTGTGTGTGTGTGTGTGTGTGTGTGTGTGTGTGTGTGTGTGTGTGTGTGTGTGTGTGTGTGTGTGTGTGTGTGTGTGTGTGTGTGTGTGTGTGTGTGTGTGTGTGTGTGTGTGTGTGTGTAAAGGTTCCGATTTCATAAGAGGTGTGTCTCTAGTCTGGCTTTCATCAACCAATTTCCAGAGTAACTAAACACACAAACAATGTCTCTGCAGTACGATGGATCATGTTCCTGTTTGGCAAGCCCGAGTTCGTAGCATCAGCCCTTCATCAGTTATTGCTGTAGGGGAAAAAGGGCCCCAGCACATATAGTAATCCTTCATAAGGACCTTAAATGTTTAGGGACAGGAAAGCAAATTCTGTTTATGACTCGTAGGAGTGGTGAAAAGTCACTTTACACTTTACTTCCATACTGTATTTAAATAAGTTTGAGGTACTTGTACTTATTTTTTTCCATTTTATGCTAACTTATTTTTTCCACATTTATTTTTGATTACTTTAGTTAATTGCAGTTTCAGATTAGTAATAGAAAATATAAACAACAAATAAATGATGATGTATTTTAAGTTAAGGAAAGATTATGGAACACAGGGGGGATACTTTATATACTGCTGGGTAACTTGTTATAAAGTAATCAACTGTTACCAGCTGCCACATTAAAGGTTGTATATGCAAAATGTACCTGCCAGTGGATGTCGCACTAGAACACCAGCATCTCAAAACCAACTTTTTTTAGTCTTTCACACAATCACCAACACTGTCTTGGTCAACATAAACCTTTAACTGGTGAATTAAGGGTTTGACTAAAACAGTTAGATGTGAAAATATTTGTGAAAAGGGCTTCATAAGCTAACTGTGCGTGTCAAAGTATGTCCACTAGAAGCACTTGTTTTTGCCACTGACAGGCTCTGATTGTTATTCTAAGTGTCTGTCAACATTATGGAAAGGATCCCTACAGAGATAGACCTTTTGTTTAACCAGAATATATATAATATCTCTTTCGCTTGCCACTAGACTCCATAGACGAAATAATTTTACATTGCATTTCATGTAACGCCATAACTTCAATCTGGTTGGATCGAAATAAATCATTAATTCTACGATGT